TTTTTTTTTTTTTTTTTGCGAAGGGAATCTTACCCTGGAAACCTTCAATAAGAAATAATTTATCCATAAACTATTGAATCCATAGACTATGCAATTATGGTTTGACCAGTGATTCTTAAAAAGTACTTTTTCACAGAAAAGTATATTAAGTGTGAAAAATCCTGGTTAGGAGTATTTTTGTTTTTAAGTTTTCTGTTGCCATAGATGTCACTGTCCGATGCATTTGTTGTTCACACTATAACTGATAAACCATATTTTTTGTTTTCCCCTGTACATTTATAAGGCTTGGTCTTGGTGATGCTCGGCCTGTTAATGCCAAAGCATTTTTTTGTGCACATACATGTCATAGTTGCTGAGTAGCTTTGGTTTTTAAAATGGCAGGTTCTGTTTTAAAGTCAGTGTGATTTAATAATCATAATATTTATAAAAAAGTATGCTACATTTTGTGATGTTTGCAATTGTGCAGTTTCATTTTCAATATTGGGCAATACAGAGAATTGGTCGGGTTGGGAAGCCAGACAGATTGGATTCTTTTTCTTGAAGTGGTACATTGTGTGTGTTTGTGTGTGTGTGTGAAGTTTTAGTATTTTACATATTGGCATTTTCAGTGTATGACTTTGAACTCTGATGTTTGTTACAGAGACTGCCATCAATACAGCCACCTGTAGCTGAGAGCTGGCTGACACTCAAAAGGCATCATGTCTTCTTCAGGTAAACGGTGGAAATGTCAGATTGTCACTGAAGTATGATTAGATAGTGTTAAGTTATTACTATAACTTTCATTTCAAAATTGTTGGACTCACTGTGGATAATTTCCTCTTTTTATATTGTAAAAGGATATAACTTAATGTTTGAACATTTTCATATATAGTGATTATGTCTGAATCTATTACAGTTTTGATATATAAGAATCTTTTACTTTTTTTTCAGTATAGACTAATTACTTCATTTGGTACTTAATCCTGTCTCTATTTATCATTGTATTTCTAGAAGAAGATGACATCCATCAATGTGGGCGATGCAGGAAGTTATTCATGAAATTGGAAGATTACTTACAACATAAAAAATCAAAGGTTTGATATAATTTTTGCCAATTCTACAGCAGAATGCCATATCGAAGGTTATTCTATGTTTTTAACCATCTGGAATTATCAAAAGTAATTTCAATTGATAATAGAATATGCAGGGGCGTAACCAGGCATACGCACGGATGCACTGTGCGTACAATTTTTTGAGCCAACCATGATATTATTCTCCATTAATTCAGTGAATTTTTCAAGGAATATAATCGTACCTGGGAATTTTCAAAATCTATGCGTACAATTTTTAAAGGTCTGGTTACGCCCCTGATATGGTTGCAGTTATCAAATGAATTATTTAAAACATGAATATAAACTTGTACACATATTATCGCTTAAAAGTTTATACAAGACGATAAGACACTGTTGCACTTAGAATTTTATTTTTGATATAGCAGTATTGAAGTGGAAATCATCAGAGATAGTCCAGTCTCACCAACTAGTATATAATCAGTATTGACAGACTGCATGCGCAGCAATTAATAAATGCTGATAAAATTTTTCCACAAATATTTTTCTTGTTGCTTTCCCAAAGTTCTGTTGAATTACAGTCTGTTGCACAACAGGATAAATACACCATGCTTTGCACGTCTCTTTTGTCTTGGTTTCTAAGACAACATTTCCCATGCATGGAATTTCACCCTTATTTCTGAAAAATAATCCCCCTTTTGCGGATTTTCACACCATTTTAAGTCTTGTATGACATCACACAATGCCAACAACTATTTCTGATGGTTTCCATTGATAAGCTATTGCCTGCAAATCATTGGATCAAAATTTATATTTACAATTAACATGTTACTGCATGTAATTGAATATAAATTGCCAATGACAGTTCAGGGCTGTGTTACACCAGTAGATTAGGTATTGTCATTAAAAGGTACTTGCAGGAGTCAATATAAAAACATTAAACATAAAACACTGGTTTTGCATTCTATTTCCTTTCTCTCAAGGCTATAGCAATCCTAGTATTAAGTCATTGGGATTCTTAGGCCAAAATTTTAACACTAATTAAGGTCTTACCATAGATAGCTTTGGCACTACAAATGACCTCACATAAGAATGAAAAATCAGAAATTGGGCATATGTGTCAATAATTTGTTAGCTTGCATTTTAATTATTTTATTATCATTTTATGATTAATCCATTTTCAGATATGCAAGAAATTATCATCCACCAGTCAACCCTTGTTAACAGAACAAAAAGATTCAGATTGTCAAAATGCAGTAGACAAGAGAGATGAGCTCCCAGAAGAATCTAACCACAAAGAGGTAGCAACTGCTGTGAAGCCACAAGGAAGAAAAACTAGGCAAAACAAAGCACCAGAGTCACCCAAAGATGAAGAAAATAATGTTGTGTTAGGGAGACGAGGCCGTAAGAGAAAAGTCAAGTACACAGACTTAAGTGAAGATGGTGACCTTGAGCCTCCTCCCAAATCACCAAAGGCTCAGAAGCGCAAAAGAGGACGCCCCAGGAAAACCCACAGCAAAAATAATGACAATAGAGTCAAACAGCCTCAACATATAAAGAACGTCTGTGAAACCTGTGGTTACAAAGCAATGTACCAGTGGGAGTATGATCATCATATGGCTAGGGCCCATGGAGTAGGAACAGCCAACTGTGCACAGTGCCAGGCAGTATTCCCCAATGTAGCTGACCTCACAGAGCACCTCCACTCCTGTCCAGGCAGTAAGGATGCTAACAACCAAACTGACAGGGACAGCCCAAGTGGTGCTGGTACCACTGTCACTGCAGAGAAAACTACTGGTCTCCAAGATACTCCGGCTGGGACTGTGCCAGAATTCCAGTGTACTGTGTGTTCGTCATCATACAACGAATACCGTTTATTGCGTGATCACCTGAAGGAGAAGCACCCAGAGGTCAACCCCTGTCTGTGTATGTTCTGTGGTAAGTGGTATCGCCTCAAGTCACACCTATGGCGGCATATCACAGTTGAAGCCCACAGCAACCTAAGTTCAAAGGAAATTGAAATTGCAAGAATAGAATTTGAAAAATGCACTAGAGTGAGAGGACCTAACAAGAAAAACCTTAGAAAACAGAATGAGCAGTCAGCAACAATACAACGACGATCTAGCTATGTGTGCAGCTTTTGCAATGAATCATTCCCAAGAAAAGTACTTCTGATTCGCCACTCAAAGTTGGAACACACTGAGAAGCCAGCTCTTCTAGGCTTTTCACATACCTGCACTTGGTGTGGACACAACTTCTGGAAAAGATCAATACTATTAGACCACTGCATTAAGGTTCATAAAATTGATATAGAAGCTGACTTAACTGATATTTGCCCTGTGTGTAATAAGGGTCTCAAGTCAAAGTATCATGTGATACGACACCGTGACAATCTGCATACGCCAATAGGAGCAACAGAAATCAGAGAGAGAAATATGTTTGAAGTCAAGAATGCTGACAGTGAGACCAGTAAGGATGAAACAGTTGAGAATAAGCAGGTTGAAGAAAAAAAGGAAATGAAGAAAACTGATGAAAAAGATAAGACAATGCCAACAGTGGAAACTGTTGACACAGAAGACATGGCCAATAGTGATATTTCAAAAAAAGATGAAGACTTGGAAGGAAAATGTAAATCAGTTGAAGAATCCAACAGAGATTTTCCAAATTTTAGATGTTTTGTATGTCATGAGTTATTTACCACTAATAATTCATACCGTCATCATCTAGAGTGCCATAGAATCTGGATTCCAAGGGATGAGCTTAATGAACTGCTTGCTAAGCAAGGTCTCATGGTGTTAGCAGAGGGGGAATCTGCCATGCACATAGCTACACCAGTGGGCAATGAGGATCAACCAGAAGAACCTGTTTCTGAAGCTGCCAGTCTACACACTAGACACCACCAGGATTTTGGTCCTTCAGCTCCAGTGGCTCTTCAGATTCTTACCCCCTCTGGAGAAGATACAGCAGGCCAGGTCTACTATACTACCAACACAACTTTAGCTCCAGCATTCACCACAGCTTTGGCTTCAGCACAGGGATATGTGGCTGCACCTGACTATACACCAGTGGTCAGTTCTGCACAACAGGTGTCTGTCCAGCAGGTTGATAGCCATGGTAACTATTCTACCATAGATTCCTCGGCTATACACCAGTGGGCACAAGAGCAAGCTGTCCTGACCATCTTGCAGGAAATGGGTCAGAACTCAAACTCTAAAGGACAACAGAGAGATCAGGTGCAGACACTGCAAGCAGTGCAGGGCAACCCTGCTGTCTCACTACATATTAACTCCGCCTCCCAAGCTGTACAAGTAACAGTACAACCAGTGGCTATTGTCAATGCAGCTAATGATTTTAAGAGCACTGTCCTCTCAGAGAGTCCATCCAAAAGTAATGATGAAATGAACCACGGAACATGCAACCCAGGTCAGGCTCTGCAGCCAGTTCCAGCTAGCCCTTCCTCAGACACAGGAATCAAATGTGAAAGAACTTTATCTGAAATTGGATTAGAGAAAACATCAGATCAATTTGTAAAGCAAAGTGGTGATGAAGAAGAAGATGAAGAACAAGAAGAAGAAGGAAAAGAAGATATTATTGAAGACACCAGGTATGACTATATGTGCCCAGCATGTCTCAAGGTATTTCACAAGTTGGAAACCATCAATGCACACAAGAAGAATGTACATAGCCTTGTTGCAGTATTCCGCTGTGCTAAAGAAAACTGTCGTCAGATTTTTTTGGAAACTGATGACTTTATTGATCACCATAAGGTTCATCCACAGCAAGCTTTCATATGTCGTATCTGTAATGAACATGTGGAGAGCTTAAATAACCTTATAGGGCACAAGGTGGTGGCTCACAAAGATATTTACCCTTCATACGGTTTCCGTTGCAAGCTGTGTCATAAGGCCTTCAAATCACAAGATCAGCTGGATGTCCACATGGCAACAGCATCACATGAGCATCAATGCCCTCAGTGTGGGAAAGTGTTTAAGGCACAGTCAGAGCTAAAGGACCATGAACTAAAGCATGCTGGGATACGCAGCTTCCTGTGTGACATATGTGGAGTGTCCTTTGTCAACCATGCTGCTCTGAGGAAACATAAGAGCAACCACAATCCGTCTCGTACATTTGTGTGCAGTGAATGTGGGAACAAGTTTCATAAAAGAGAACACTTGAACAGACACTACAGGACCAAGCACAGTGATGAGAGGCCATTCAAATGTCCTGAACCAGGCTGCCCAAAGGCTTTCAAAAGGGGAGATAAATTGCGAGAGCATTTAAGAAACCACTCCAATGAGACCCCATATGTGTGTCAGCATTGTGCCAAAGCATACAAACATAAGGAGGCTCTCAAGTACCACGAAAAGACACACATGACGGTGCCCGTTTTAAAACATCACTGTGAGGTGTGTAATGCTAGCTTCATTCGCGCAGCCCATTTGGCCAATCACATGCAACAGGATCATAAAATGGCTAAGAAGCGGATTGCGTCACATGAGTGCCCAACATGCAAGATCAAGTTTCACCGCCAGGAGAGATTGAACAGACATATGGAAAGGGAGCATCGCTCAGATGTTATGTGGAAGGTTACATGCCGTTTATGTGGAAAGGGATTTGCAGGTGATAAGAGCCTTCAGACCCATATTGAGAAGCGACATTCAGCCGGAGTGCTCACTAAGACAAGAAGGAAGAAAAATCAACTTCCTGAGGACCAGCAACAAATTCAATCACAACAGCAGGAGCAGCAGCCGTCCCTCCAGATCACAGCCTCTGTTCTCCCCACCCCCATGGTCCACCCTGCCCCTAGATATGACCATACCCAGATCCCAGTAGAGGCTCACCTGCTCACAGCTATGCAGTATATGAATAGGGTGGAACCTCAGGCCCCTCCCACCTCTCAGACTCATATGCATTTACATATACCTCAGCAGTCAGTCATGTCCCCACACCCGCAACAGCTACAACAACCACCACCACAACAACATATACACCATGACAGGGTCATGTCACCCCATGAAAGGGTCATGACACCCCAGGAGAGAGTTTTGACCCCTCACGAACCACACACAGGTGTGGCCACCCAGATGTTGATGGCACACCACAGGGGGACCCCCCATTCACAGCCTCAGGACCAACCCACAGAGGCCCCCCAGGAGGTGACCCATGTCATGAACCCACACCCACCTCCCCCACCCCCTCCTGGGTACATGTACTACCCCATGCAGGGGTTTGTGCCACACACATACAATTGATGTAGGTGGGAACAGAATCATGAGGTGACAGGGAAATACAAATGAATTGTTGTAGGGAGACCTGCAAATATTCTCACCTGGTTTGGAAACAGTGCTGTGCAAGCCCTGTGCACCATTGATCTCCACCCTCTTTTATTTATTTAGTAAGTTAGTATTTACAGAAGGGTCAAAATTAACATTATATGAACTGAAAATGCATACCACATTTTGTGTGTAGGAACTGATTAACTGTAGCTTCTGAGCCACTGTTGTTTGTTTATTTATGTATATTGAGAAGGAAGGAGAGAATGTACATCAAAAAACTGCTGTCATAGCTACTATATGGACATCCACTGACATCATGCCTATCAACTCCTCATGCATGTGATTGCAACTATGACGACTTTTCCAAAGCATCTTTTTTTTAACTTCGTGATACTGACTTAACAGCACAAATATTTTGCAAGAAACAACAGATAACTCAATTGGCAACAGTTTGGGAATTTATGGGCAACCATTTTTGGTTCATTCATTGATTTTACATAGTTATGTTTGGGGTATGAATTAAGCAAAGTGTTACCTGCCTACTAGCACTATACGTTTATAAACTGATTTAGGTTCTCATCTACTCAGTCCTGGTGCAGCCACTGGTCTGTAGATTTTGAAGGTTTTGCTTGTTGGCTTGCTAATTTTTATATTTTCGCAAATTTGCTTGTGTCATTTTTTTATGTACAGACACAGATTTGGATGTACATATAGCTGTCACCTGTGTTTGCCATCGCTGTCGCCGTGCACTTTCTTATTCTCTCGTGCTGATAAATATTCATAAAATACAGGTCAAGTTCAGAAATTGGCTTGATAAGACCATTTTCTTAAAGCTATGCTGTATTCTTTTTTTCTTTTCTTGACTTTTTCAGTATGTTACTTTTCACTCCCATCCACCTTGAGCCCTGTACCAGAAGCATTTTCAGTATTTCCAAACAATAGTACAAACACAAACAATAGTTATGGTGTTTATGCTGATATTATTTTGTGCACTGTCATCATTATTCACATATTGGGATTTTCAGCGTTGACTGTGCTGTTAAGCTTTATTCATTATTCAGAATTGACAAAATGACATATTTTGCACATCTTTGTTTTATTTTTTGTAAAATCAACTTTGTGTCAGGTTATATATATATTGCTGCTGGTCAGTCTTAATTGTCCCTTGTGGATAATTACTAGCTGTTATAAAATCACTTCGCTCATTTGCTAACAAGTAGTCATGAAATTTTATAACACGTCCAAAAAAAATACTTAGCCATAGCGCTTAATTTTATACAGACTTTCTCAGAAATCCTTAATTGTAGCATTGCATAACAAAAGCAAAATAAAAAAAGCAGTCTTACTTATTATTCTCAAAATTGCAAACGTGCTTCCCAGAACTTAAAGCTTCTACTTAGAAAAATAGCCTGATTGGATTATTATCATTATTTTGAAGTTATCAATTTTTTTTTACTTTTTTGCCTCGTAGGTCTGACTTTCAGGATCGTATAACTTATTGCATGTATGACTTCATGGATTTAAAGCCCTATGCTAGGTACTTACTCTGGATGTGCTTTTTAACTTAGGTAAAATGTGGTGGTGATAATGCTGTTAAATGTTATATAATATTGTTTTTAAATTGACAAAGTAACATTTTTGCACACCATTTTTCCTGCTTTATACCTGTACATGTGCGGTCTTGTTTACAAATGGTAGTGCCAGGATTGCATGCTCTGAAATATTATCTCAAGGCTATTTATATGAACATTAGGTTTACTTGTTATGTCAGTATTTTCCCCAAAATAAGGAAAAAAGAAAACGGCATTATAGGACATATCATGCTGAACTTATCATGTTCACTAACAGGTATATTATAAGTTGTTTACACACGTTTATATGAGTAGACATTTATTCTATTATTTCTAAACATTTTACTGAGATGCTTGAAATAGGAATTAGTAAAAATATGTTTTAGAACAATCTTAGAGAGAGCCTCTGCTCTCTGCTGTATGGCTGTAGAAACATGCATCTGACTCACAGACTGGTGTTTAAAAGAGGTTCCATTTCCCAAGGCTCACTTACTACTTGTTACAGCAAAGGGCTTGACCAGGTCACATCGTTAAGACTTGCATTAGCTTGCTTAATCTTTAAGCCAAAGTTTAGTACAATGTTGGTCTAAGTACAGCTTTAAATACACTAGAGTCAATCATTACACATAAAAACCTCACTGTTCAGATGAGCATTGTGCTGCCAAGAAGTGATAAGTCATGTGAGCTATCTATTGAATCTCCTCCTTAGAAATCTACAGGGCATAACCTTTGCAGGACTTTTGTATGAAAATATTGAGAAATCTTCTATGTTGTGTGATAACTGTTGCCACTGTTGTGGTCAGTTTTCGTGCTGTTCCCCAAGTTTAAATTCAAGCAATGTCTCAAACCATGTAAGAATACATTGTGGTCAGAGGGAGATGGGTGAAGTAAAGAAGTTAACATGCACTCAGACATTCTGAGAGCCTGTATGGGGAACACGTGGCATTCTGATATTTTACTAGCATTTGGCTCTAACTTTTGTGGGCAAGATGTGTCCAGAATTTGTACTCAGTAAGATACTTATTAACAGCAGAATTTAAATTCAGAATGAATTAGATGGTTTTATAAGAATAAACATACATAAAAATTACCTGTTTGAGAAGGGTCACTTTTACAGTATACAGTATATAACTGTAAAGAGACATTTTGCACTATGTAAAGAAAGGAGGAGTTCATGCATTGGGGAACTATGACAGTAGGTAGTATATGTGACTGAGCAGGAGTGAATCTAGAGTAACTCCGTCTGGATTAGTTATTCAGTATGAATGTGTAAATGGCTTATATATAATTATGTATGGAGATTCTTTTGCATGTGACCATGGAAGTATAACTTGAGTTATACCCCATGATGTGACCAAGGTTAATATGTGCGAGCCTCGATCATTTGTACATTAATTACTACATATATTTATATTTGTTCTAATTAATTAATACTATGTACATATTATATTTTTTTCGAATAGTATTTTATCTTTTTTAATTTTTTAATCATTTAATTAAAATTTTAGATTCAAGTTTGTGGATTCAAAAGCATGCAAATTAATTATTGCCAGGTTGTATAATGCACACATTTCTACTTGTTTCAGTCCACAGCTAAAGTCAGCTGTGGCCAGCATCCAGTAGCCTGCTATGTATATGGGTACTTTATTACATTGGATTTTTATTTCACTGAATGGCTTTTAGCTTACAAATATATTTTTTGGGGTGGCAAATTGTTAATACTTCATTAACATTAAGTTTATGAAGTCCCTAGTGTTGTATGCTGGTACCTGTTGGCTCAGACTAGTTTCTGCCTTTTCCTGACATCTGTATTCTCTGTTGTTTTCTGACCTGATCTCCTTACGACAACATCAACTTAATGAACATTTGATTGCAAATGTGTTGAAGTGAGAGCTGAATTTCCATTTTCGATAAGACGCCTTTGACCTTTGAGAATTCTATATCAGCAAAAGTCAAAAATAGGCAGCCCCAGGCCAGCAAAGGTCATTAATTAATTGCCTTACTGATAAACCTCCCATTTGTTACAACAGCGTGGACTGTTGCTTTAAATTAATGTAAAGATGCCTAATTGCATGATAGAAATGAAGTTTTTTAAACAGCCATGGGTAAGGGGTATTCCAGAAATTTATTTAAGCTATCCAAGAGAGTTTTTTTTTTTTATGAATAGTAATTTCCCATCAGTTATTTAGCAATTTTGCATTAGTTATTTAGCTTTTGTAGACTAAGACATTTGAAACAAAAAAAATACTGTATTATCCTTGGTGGATGTTTGCAGGCACTTATTTGCTCTTTCAGTTTACTTATTTTTGAGAAATAAACATAAACACTTTTTTAAAAGCAGCCTTGCTAATGTTAATTTCTGAAAAGTGAAATAAGAGATAAACTAGAAGTTCACCCAAGGGACCCCATCTCCATGGATACCTAGGCTACTGACTAGGTACCAGTATTGATTATTTAATTATTGATAATGAACTTTATAACAGCCTAAGAAATCTGCCTTTGCGTGTGCATATTTGTATTTGTAAAAAATTAAAAGACCAAGGTTTCATATGATGTCCAATACACATGGCTAGTAATAGAAAGTTGTAAAGGGGAAGAATTGATGTCGATATGGTGAAGAGAACCAGTATACACAAGCTACATATAGACAAGACCATAATTATCAGAAGAAATTGTCAAATAAAAATGTGAGGAATAAATGGCTCTTTTCTGGTTTTGAACTTCACCTGCATTTTAGGCCTCACAAGTAACACCTAGTTTCAGCTTAAATAGAGTTACCATAAGGATAACACAATGCCCAAAAGACTCAAATTAAGGGAAAAATATTGATAAATACAAGAAATGATAGGAACAAACCTAGTTTTGAATTTGAGCAGCATCAAGTAATCTGCGAGTTCGAAGCTAAATGGCAACATTTATTTCCAACTATTGCTGTAAAAAGAAATGCTTCCTGCATCAACTACATATCTCATTCGAGTGACATGGACTGCAAAGGGTGATGGCAATAGAGAGGAACCTCTCTCTCTACTTCTATGAGTGGAACCAGTACGAAAACAGCGAGAGACCCAGATGAAAGCTTGTTCACAGTGAGAAATGCGATGTTCGCAGCCAGTATTTTTACTAGTGGTCCGTGAAAAAATGGTTTAAGTCATTAATTTGGCTATCATAATCAGCAATTCACAGCTCCAAGTTACAGAAAACACTTATCATTAATCAAGCCTGTCAAATTGCTGCTGCAACATGATATTCTCCTGGAAACTGAACATGAATTATTATAAAAAGATACTTTTTCAGTAATTCCAATATAAGAATTGCTTTTAAATCATAGATTGGTATGTATGCTATCTCATGGCTAGTCAGAGGTAGCATTGAAATAATTATTTATGTAAAAAAAGATAAGTACCCCCCAGGGTTCCTAGCAACATTGTGCTACTGTTGATCCTTAATAGAAAACATACATGGTAGTTAATGTTGCATGCGGGATTCATTTATAATGAAATTATGAAAAGAAATTAAAATTCATGTAAAAAAAAATAAATCACCCAAGGGACCCCACCCAACATAACTGCCATGGTCTTGACTACTGGTTATAATCTTCATAAAAACTAAATAAGAAACATGCCTTCATGCATGTCTTTTAAAAAGAAAATTCCAGTAAAAAAATGGAATCATCCACCCCTGGGATAGTCCACAGTTACACTAACATTCCCAAAGGCCCGCCCACACCTTTGGTGATACACGTAGGTCTATCAGTCCCAAAAGTTCCTCACTATAATATACATGTAGTAGAAATTATACTTTGTGAAACTAGAAAGCAAACTACCGCCAAGACAGCACAATTCTCGATGTTTTCAATTATAAATAGATCACCACCGAAATCAAGTCGATTCTAACTAAGACCTTTTCTAAAAATCAAATAGTTAGGCCGCTAGCTGTCAAACCAACAAAAGCAAAACATTCCCACCTTGACGTAGGAAAGGTCTCGGCGATGTGAACAATCTTACACTACAGAGATCATGAAAACTAATGTAATTAAACCTAAAAGAGACATAGACAAAGTATTCTTTAAATAAAAAGATTTTATTTTTTTTCTTACAACTCATTCTATTGTAATAAAGAGACATTGAACTTTCAACTGGTCAATAGA